CTGACTTTCGTGAACCATACAGCCGAAATGCCCCCCACCCCCCGCAAAAAAAAAAAAAGTTTCACATGTGAAGCGTCTTTTGAACTTAAAAAAAAAAAAAAAAAAAGTTTCACATGTGAAGCGTCTTTTGAACTTGAACCCAGCTGGTGCCAGACTCATGCTCAGGTCTCTTTTTCATGGACTCCCCTTTCTTGTCCCCGAATACCACAGGCGTGAACAGGCACACTTGTCCTTACTTACACTCACCCTGGGTCCTCAGCTGGCTCATTTATTATTTCAAAGGTTCAAGTTAGCCAAATTTTACAAGCTCTCATTTGTATTTTCTGTTCTAAAAAAAAGAAAGGGGAAACTCTGCATATCTAACAAACTACCCAGTCTAGCAAAGTTAGGTTTAAACTCTGCATTACATCCCACACAAAAACGAGTGATGAMATTAGTTCATTCTGGGCAAACAGAATGTAAGTTATGAGTCCTGTTGAGGAACTTGGTGTTTTATATCAAAAGCCATTCCTTGTGTTTACATTGTGACCCCMGGGATACCACCTGTGGAAGATTTACTTTAAGCCAACAAGGACACGGAGAAGAGCAGGTGCATTTGTGAAGTGATTCTACAATGGACAACTGTTGATTTTGCTTGTCCAACGTGCCAGTTTTCCTTTTCCTGGCTTTAACCCTAGGATTTTTCTATGGGAAACTTGCTGGCACACTTTTGGGGTTGGCACATGATGCAGGCTTGGTCAGTAAAACACAGGCTCAGGAGCCAGACTACAGGGCCCCAGTACTGGCTCTGCTGCTTAACTGGTGCAGGATCTTTTGCTTCTTGTTAGCTTCTCTGAGTCTCAGTATACTCATTCGTGTAATGGGCACATTAATAAGAGACACCTACCTCATAGGGCTACAGTGAGGACTGAATGAGTGAAGCAGTTACAATGCCCATGTACCATTATCTGTTTTTTTTTTTTTTTTTGGTACTGGGGATTGAACTCAGGGGTACTTAACCACTGAGTCACATCCTCATCCCTTTTTATCTTTTTATTTTAAGACAGGGTCTCACTAACTTGATAGGGCCTGGGTAAGTTGCTGGGACTAGCCTCAAACTTGCAATCCTCCTGCTTCAGCCTCCCGAGTCTCTGGGATTATGGGTAGATCCACTGCTCTTGGCCATTATTCTTTTTTTTTACCTCTAGGGCTCTGGCCAATATTTCCTATTTCTGGCAGTTTCTTATCAAATTGCCTTTCTTTAACTCTTCTTTTTTTCTTTCYACATACTTCAGTGTCATTTACTTCATTCTCCCAAGAATTAAATTCCATATCTTCCTTTCCTACTGAAATACCCTGAAAATAGAACTGTGTGTTGTCCACCTTTGTACCTTGGGTGCTGAACACAGATCCTGCTCCAGAAATGATGCTCAATAAATGTTTGTTGAACAAACTGAATGCTCTCTAACACAGCATAGAAGGTTGGATTAATGAAAATGTAATAAATCCTGATGATTAAAGAAAGGGTAAACAGAAAGAACCACAGGAAGCTAGAAAATTTTCTTGCAAAAACTCCTTGATCCACAGGGATTGCAGACTCTAGTTCTTCCTAGCCCTGGACTTGTTCCCATATGTGGTCAGATGATTTCTAGGAACAGACTTGGACTACCTATGGCCCACTTTYGGAATAATGGCTGCCCTTTTCTGCCCTATAACTCATCTCTTCCCTTGTGGATTGGCAGGAGAGATAGCTATTCTCTCAAGAGAGATCAAATCTACATCAGGAGATCTGCAAGCCTTACATGGGCATGGCAAAGTGGAGAATGGTCTTAAGATAGAGCAAGATACTCTGGATGGAGGAGGTAGGTCAGGCTAACTTAGAAACCCTTTCTAATTGGTGATTGCTTGGCTTCTGATGATACCAGACTGGTAATATGAGCATCCATTTCTGTGCCATATCAAACTCTCTTGGAGCCACATCCACCTGAGACTTAAAAAATTCTTAGAGTTGGAAGAGATAGACAGGAGCATTAGTTTACAAATGAATATAGTGTAGATCTCATTTACAACTTTGGACCTCGAACATCAAGGCTACAAACACCCTAAGGACACCTAGTTTCYTGCTCCTTGAGATAATCTGTTTTTGAACCAAGTCCTAATTGGTCTTTATTTTTATTTATTTTTGTGGTGCTGGGAATTAAACCCGGGGTGCTCTATCATGAGCTACATTCCCAGCTCTTTTTATTTTTTAATTTTGAGACAGGGTCTCACTAAGTTGCTGAGGCTGACCTCAAACTTATGATCCTCCTGCCTCAGCCTCCTCCGGAGAGGCTGGGAGGCCTGGAGGTTTTAAGATAATGCAAATGGGCAAGTAGATGCTGGGCTTAGAGTACAAGTTATGGGAGTTCAAGCTCGAAAGATGGCCCGGCTTGGGTAAGGGCCAACATATGGCCCTGTACATCGATGGCTAAAGGGAAACAGATGCAAAGATCAGTGGCAGGGAGGAGGTCAAGGACCCATAAGACTCAGGAGTTTTCTGGGTCACTCACTAGTGAGATCACCCAGGATAATAAGAGGAGGATGTGGGTAAGGTGCCAAGTTCTGGGGGAATTCTGGAGGAAGACAAATGAGAGCAAGGAGGATGGGGTGTGGTGCAGTTGGTGCCTGAGCCTCGAGGAGGAAGTGTTCAGCATGAAGGGGGAAGAGTAATGGCACAGAAGTGTGGGGGGGAGGGGCTCCTAACACCAGCCTAGAAGTAGGAGCAATGACAGGGGAGCAAAGCAATCTTCCTGYGGTGGGTGTGACATCTCAGGGGACAAGCCCAGGTGCACTCTGGAAGAAGATGTGGTGGAATGTTCCATGAGGACCGAGAGGACCATTCATGAAGAATGCTCTTGAGGGCCCAGCAGAAGGACAAGGCCAGCAGCGGGAGGGGGGATGGGTGAGAGGTGGTGGAGTAGGGCTGGGCTGGGAGCCTGGGGGAAAGTCTAGGAACCTTGGTGTTGGGCAGCCAGCTTGTGCCTGTTGGCCAGAGCTTCTCATGTGCACCTGTTCTCCACCGCGGTCAGTGATGTCCCAGAAATCAGCAGTGTCACCAATCACATCTGCTCCTTGCTCCAAAACAAACCTGGAAACAACTGCTTAGAAGTCCCTGGCTTCCCTCTCTCTGGATGAAACTCACGGATGGGGCGGCGGGTAAGAAGGGAGGCATCTCCTTAGATGGCGCCACTTGGCCTGGGGTCTGAAGCAAGGAAGCAGAGGTGGGATTCATTTGTCAGAAATACGSAGGAGGGAATTTTCCACAGAGCAGAGCAAGAGAAAAGAGCTGAAGGTGGGACTCCACCCCTGCTGGCTGGCGGAAAAGCAAACCCCGAGCCTTGCTGGAAAGGAAACGTCACACTGAGGCTCAGTGACGCTGAGCCTGGAAAGTCAGGTYGGGCCAGAGAGAGGGACTCCATGCTGGAGCCTGGTGGGGGCCACCGAGGGCCTCTGAGCAAGGGAGGGGCAGCGTAGCACAGCTCCCCAGGAAATTCAGACTTGGTAAACAGCAGTGTTCTCTGGGTTTGTAATTTTAGAAAACTGAGATATAGTTCACATGCTGTGAAACTCACCCCTTTAGAGTGAACAGTTCAGTGTTTTGGTCTATTCCGAGGTTATGCCCCAGACTTATTGGCAGTCACCCCCATTCCCTCCTCTCATAAGGGTTGGTAGTTTTTTGGGGGGTACTGGGGATTGAGCTCAGGGCACTCAACCATTGAGCCATATCTTGGTCCTTTTTTTTTTTTCGTATTTAATTTAGAAACAGGGTCTCACTGAGTTGCTTAGTGTCTCACTTTTGCTGAGGCTGRCTTTGAACTCATAATCCTCCTGCCTCAGCCTCCTAAGCCACTGGGATTACAGGGATTTGTACTTTTTGCAAAACATTCAATTTTGTGTCTGCAGGTTAGCTTGAATTTTGAGCCCAGAAAGGCTATCTACTAAAGACAAAAGAGAGAATGGGAAAGAGCAGAATTAGCTTTCTCAAGGTTTGGTTAGTGTATTGAGAGACAGCAATAGACAGATGATAGAAAGATTGACATATTGCAAGATAGATAGACTGAGGAGGATGTGGGTAAGGTGCCAAGCTCTAAGTCCAGAGGTACTCACATTGTAGGAATCACTAAATCTCACTCTGTTACCCTTTAGGGCTCATTGAGTTTTTAAAGATTCTATTTAGAATATTGAAATAATGGGATTTTTAAAAAAATATTTATTTATTTATGTATCTTTAGTTTTAGGTGGACACATTATTTATTTATTTATTTATTTAATGTGGTGCTGAGGATCGAACCCAGTGCCTCATGCATGCCAGGCGAGCACTCTACCACTGAGCCATAACCCCAGCCCAGGATTTTGATTTTCTTTTTTTAAGAGAGAGTGAGAGAGAAGAGAGAGAGAGAGAGAATTTTTAATATTTATTTTTTAGTTCTCGGCGGACACAACATCTTTGTTGGTATGTGGTGCTGAGGATCGAACCCGGGCCGCACGCATGCCAGGCGAGCGCGCTACTGCTTGAGCCACATCCCCAGCCCCCGAAATAATGGGATTTTAAGATGGGGTGGGGATTTTGACATTTATTAAGTGTGATTCTTCTTACTAGTGAAAAACAAGAGAATCAAAGAGATAGGTAACTTGATCAAAGTCACCCATCCAACCAATCCATAATAACAGAAGGCAGATCAGTGATTGTGTGGGAATAGAGGGGGAAGGAGTCAAAAAGGAAACTTTAGGAGTTAATGGATATATTCCCTATGTTGATCTTGATTGAATGCATTACTTTATATGTGTGTGTGTGTGTGTGTGTGTGTAAACTTACAGGATTGTATACTCTAAATATCAACAGTTTACTGTATACCAATTATATCTTTTATTGTGGTTAGTACTGGGGATTGAACCCCGGGGTGCTCTATACTAAAGCTACATCTCTAACCCTTTTTATTTATTTTTCTATATTGAGACAGAGTCTTTCTAAGTTGCCCAGACTGACCTTGAACTTGTGATCCTCCTGCCTCACCCTCCTGAGTTGCTTGTGCCACCACTACTTATTCCCCGATAAAGGTAAACTTTCAAAAATTACATTGTAAAAAGCTACCCACCCCGTCAGAGGCCGAGTGGGGACCAGGACGCACATCCTACGTCTTGAAGACTTCACATTCCACCTTGACCTCGGCTCCACCTTAAATCCAAAGCCTATTTCAAGTTGTAAAAATACCTTTCCCACAGTGCTATATAAAAAGAATTCTATACTTCCAAGTTTTCCATAATGAGAAATAATTACACCCTTTTGAAAAAGTCGCAGATGCCATTCAACGTTTCCAACGTGACTTGGTCCGTGGAGAGAGGGAAGGGCCCACTGCTGAGCTGGGAGGCGRGGAGGGAGAGCAAGGCCTGACTTTGTTCTCTTTAGCAATGCTTGTGAAAGCTCTCATCTCCGAATGCACCCAGTGAATTCAATGTAGGATAAGAAGGATAACAGGGACYGTGTTCTTATTACAGGACTGTGTTTTGTGGTGGTGGCTACTGGGCTAAAACAGTTTCTGAATAACCCACCCCTGGATGAGGGGGAGGCAGGAAACCTCCCGGAAAGTGCAGTTCCTTTATTCCCCTCTACATAACCCAGCACAGGAGCCACCAGGTGGGGCCAGCTTCCGGAGGGCTGAYATAGGTTTTCTGTGGAGAAGGGGGAACGAGAGAGAAGGGTGGGTGTAGTCAGCCCTACCACYGTTTCCTCCAGCTGAGCTGACCGGAGAGTGGGCCCTGCAGGCTCACTTTGTGGTTCATGAGACCCTGTGGCTTCCCTACCAGCGTGTTCCAGAGCTGTTACCTCTCCAACAGGAGCTGGGAAGAGACATTCAGCATCTAAGAGAGTTTCCCCCGCTCTGTATGGTTTATTTTTTAGAATGGCAAGTGTAATATAGACTTATAACAACTTCAAACGAGTCCAAATTATAGGAGTGTAAATGGTGGTACAGCGTGTCCAGTGGCCCTGACGCCATTTCTGTCAGGGAGATGTCTGTTCACGGAGGGGTAGCAGTGCTGTCATGGAGCTGTCGAAAGTGCTGGGGGACACACACAGCATGAGTGGGACACAGGATGAACAGAACTTCTGTAGGACATCTCTGGGCATCCACACCATAACAGATATTTAACCCCTTGTCCTGTCTTTTCATAATTTTCCTTCCCAGTGTCCCTTCATCCCCCCAATCCTTTGCATTTTGCTGCCTGACTTCATGCTCCCAAGGGCTGACCCTAAGAGACCGGGCCACCCAGCCTTCAATGGATTCAAGTCAGGGCTGGACAGAGGGAGGCACCCACAGGAGACTGAGGACAGAATGAAAGAGAGGGATGGTCATTTATTTCCCCAGCTTCCTTTCTAGCAAYGACCGTGCCCCTCCAAGAAGGCAGYCCTTCCRCCAGGTGCCCCTCCAAGAAGGCAGTCCTTCCGCCAGGGCTCTGGTTCTGCCTCCCTTTGGGTTTGGGAAATGGTAATGGCTTCTGGCATCTGCTCCCCTCTGGACCCATCTGCAGCTCCAGTGGCTCCTTCATGGAAGTCTCTGCCTGGAAGTGGTCTCACCCTTCCTTCATGTTGGAATGAACTATTTAAGGTTCTGTYCATCATTTCTCCTAGACGGGGAGAGGGGCACGGGAGTGGGGAGTGTGCCTTAGGCTTGAGAGCCCAGCACTTGGCACAGTGGGTTGAACTCAAGCACTGAGTTGGCTGGGGGTGGAGAGACACTTTACTGAGAGGCTCTTGGACCCGGGTTTTAAAGGGCATCGATGCTTCTGGTGGATGACACATCGTTGTACCACGAYGAGGTCTTTCTTATTCTTTGGGGACAAGGTCCAGGACTACATGGATCACAGTGTGGGATATTCAGGGCAGCGTGACTCCACTTGAGGCCCTGAGTCACACCCTTTTGTTGATGCTGTTGAGAACACCAAGGACAACAGTGGCCATGACGTTGGTGTCATGTGTCCTCATCTGAGTCACAGGACTGGAAGTTAGTACTGTTCCCTCTGCCTTACTGCAAGGTAAAGTTGACCGAGGCGTGGTTTATACATAATGACATGCTCTGATTTTAACAGTACAGCTGAATGAGTTTTGACAAGCACATCTCCCTGTGGAGGTGAATTTGCTCTTGTCAAGAGYAGAGCATTTCTGTCACTCTGGCAAGTTCTCTCACGTCCTTTCCTCTCTAACTCCACACCCAGCCTCTCCAAACGGCAGCACCACTATTGTGGGCTGGTGTCCAGCGAACCCTTGTCCCCACCCTCCAGGCCTTCTGATCCTTGCCTCTGCCCCTTTTCTGGTTGCTGTTGTCTGTGGGGTAACCTTGTGTGCCCTCTCACCTGGTTGGCTTCCCATCTTCCTTCAAGACCCCTCCTCCAGGAAGCCTTCCTGATCTTGTCCTCCACTCAGCCTGGATGAGGGTACTCTTCTACAAAGCCTTGTATTGTGTCGTCTGGATCCCCATCAGATTTTGTTTTATGCCTTTTTKTGTGTGTGTGTGCWAGTATTCTCCCCACCATGCCCACCAAATGAGATCCTTGGTGAGGACTGGGTCGTATTCTACTTTGAATTCCAGACTCTAGCACAATGCTTGGCAGAAAGTGTTTGCTGTTTAAAATAAATATGGGAATGATATCCATCCCCACCCCACTTCCAGGACACTTCCTAAACCTTTACCACCACATTATACACTGGGCCCTTTTAGTTGCAAGACAAAGAGACTCAGAYAGGAAGATGCCCTTAGCCTTGGAAGGGCTCTGACCCAGCTTAGCTTGGCTGCTCTTGGCTTGTGCAATTTATTTGCTTCCCTTTCCTCCTCCTCCTCCTCCTCCTTCTCCTCCTCCTCCTCCTCCCCCTCTTCTACTGCTACTACTACCACCACCAGGGATTGAACGCAGGGGCATTTTACCACTGAGCCATCCCCAGCCCTTTTTATGTTGAGACAGGGTCTCTTTCAGTTGCTTAGGGTCTTGCTAAGTTGCTGAGGTTGGCCTTGAACTTGAGGTTCTTCTGCCTCCCCCTCCTGAGCTGCTGAAATTACGGATGTGCACCATGGTGCGTGGTGCCCAGCTGCTTCCCTTTTCTGATTGGCCCCCTCTACCCATCTTACATCTGCGGTCTCCTAACTTCAGCTTGCCTTTTTACCTTAGCTTTCTTTGGCCCTGACTTTACATCTCTCTGGCTTGACTTGACATTTGTAAAGGTAATAATCTATCAAGTTCACCTAAGCTTTTTGGATCCACATCATAGCCATATCATAGGCCAGGAACTGACCTCAGGGTTACATGTCCAGTATCCCTAAGGGTGGGTCCCACAAAACATGGTTGCTTGAAGAGCAGAGCACTATAGAAGAGGTAGGCAGGCCTTCTGAGATCTCTCCTATCCTATTACTGAGCAAAACTCCTCGTATTTTTGCCCCTCTTTGCTCCTGAATAATTTACATTTTCTCATCCTTCATATCAGAAAAGTCCCTTATCTTCTTCTCTCTTCTTAGGAATTAAAGGATTTAAGGCGTGTTTAAGCTGAAGGAACCTCAGGGGCTGTCTGCTTGCGCATGTTCTGTATGACATTAGGCACAAAAGATGCTCCGTGGACATACTTCCCGGACCTCTGAGACCTCCTCTGCACAGACAGACCCCTGCAGCATCCAGGTCCTCTGYATTGGAGGCTCTGAATCAGGGACTACTGGAAAGGTTCCACGGGGAACAAACCACAAACCCCTTGAAATTGTCCRCAACCCTGAGTCAGTGTCGAATGTGTGCACGTGAGCACATCTTCCTGAGAGAATGTCAATAGCGCTCATCAGATCATTAAGGTAAATATTACCTAAAGGAAAAAAAATGGATAACAAACTCTACTTTAAAAGACATTGGCTGACTGTGCCTTCCTAAGGCAAAGCTCTACTCTTCCAAGTTTTATTGCTGCACTTAATGTCCACTCACCCAGTGTAAATAGGAGAAAGAACTTTTTATGACAAAGCTGAAGGGTCTTGATTACTTAGGGTCTTTAACCTTTTATTTTTCTAGAGATGAAAACACTAAAATAATTATGCATCAATTTAAGTTCGTCAGTTGTAACAGTCGTACCACTCTAGGTAGGGATGTTGATAAAGAAGGAAACTATAAATGTTCAGGGAGAGAACATATGGGAAATCTTTATACTACACCCTTCTGCTCAATTTTGTGGCAAATCTAAAAATGCTCCCAAAATGAAAAGTTTACTTAAAAATGGACAAACAAACCAGCCCAACACCAAGAATCAAAGAAGTAAAATATAATTTTCCCAAGGCTAGACAACTGGGTCAGTAGGCACTACAGCCTTCCTCTCTCTTCTTCACTTCTATATTTTAGCCATCATTTTACAAATTCCTGTTATTTTGTGTCCATAAGTCATCATTTCTGATCTCCCCCCCAAAAAACCCCAAAACAACAACAACAACAACAACAACAACAAAACATTCGTTTAGGGCCAAGCACTGTGTTACACATTTCTCCTTTGACAGGTAGGGGAATCTTTCTGTTGGATATTATTACCCATTGAAAAAAGATTTTACTTTTCTCATAACCATATTGATACTTGGAGATTTAAAGAAGTTGCCCAAGGTTGCCTAGCTGCTTAGGGGCAAAGAGGGTGCAGGAAAGCCTGGGTTTCCACCACGCTTTATTGATGAGGGTTTTCTCTCACTTTTGTACATAACTCCGCCCAGGTTAAAAGGCTCCCTCCTGAGGTCTCACCTGAGGCTCCGCGGGGGTACAGGTAGGATAGGACGCCGCCCCCTGGTGGCAGGTGCGCGCCCTTGCAGCGCATGCTAATGAGCCCGCGGCGCCGCTCGCTGATTGGCTGGCGCGGATTCCAGCTGCTTTGCAAGTCGGCGGGTGCGAGGGAGAGTCGAGGGGCCGCGGGCGGCAGCCGGAGCTCTGCGCGCTCCCCGCCCCGCGCATCACGGTCGACGCCCAGGCTGGGCGGGCCAGGCTGSCTGGCTAACTTGGGGCTTTCCCTCTTCTCTCCCATTTGTGTTGTGGTGGTAGATCCATCCAGGGTCCAGGATGACGATCCGACACCAGGGCCAGCAGTACAGGCCGAGGATGGCATTTCTCCAAAAGGTAACCCGGGTGCCCACACCTGGGCCCTGGCGCAGGTGGGCGGGGTCCGAGTCTGGGGAGAGTCCGAGGATGAGCGGGGCAGGAGTGGCGGGGCATCCCTTTGGGGCGGTTCGCGCCGCTAGATGGTATGAAATGACTTATCTGCTTTGTGTGTTGCTCCTAAAGACTATAATAATGAGGGTTTCGTGGAAACTGTTTGTAGTGGAGAATCTGGAGCCAGCTATGATGGTCTGCCCGAGGCTGGAAACAACCTGTTACTCGGAGAGGAGGGTGCCAGAGGCAGTTCAGCAGAGGCTGTGAGGTTTGACACAACCTGCCGGTATTGTTGTAAGACATCCGGATGATAAATCAACATTTCTTTTGGCCATGTTTTTCTGATCCTAATACTGCAGGATTATAAAATAAGTATGTTTGTGGGTATACATAGACGATGAAAACGATGTGATCAAGGCCACCCTGTTTACAATGTGCAGAGAGCCCTCCTTTGTGGATGGGCACTTGAATCTCCCTCTGACAGTKGCTGGCAGCAACATCAGAACCTTGTCCCGTCTGTTGTAAATGCTTTCTCAGACCAAGTGACCGGGCACAGGGTGTCCATTCTGGATGGACACGGAGGGTGGTGATGGTGGTGGTGGAGAGCACTTGGAGAGTGATGTGTTTGGGGATGAAGTGGTTCATTTTGTTCTGGGCTTTTGAGATAGCGAGTGTGGGAAGAGATCGACAGAGGATTAGGTCCCAGGTCACCCGTCTGCCCTTCCCAAGCGCAGCCACTTTTTGCGGCCGGCCGTGTGGTGTCCATCCTCTTAGGCTTATCCTGTTGAGTAGAATTAGCTGAATGCTTTTGACAAGCTGGGCCCTGCCCTGAGCCCCAGAAGCTAAGCAAATTGGCGTAGTCAGTGACCAACCGTTTCAATTTGCTAAATGTGTTAAAGCCTGGACAATCCTGGGCACACCAGGACAGTTGTCACGCTCTGTCCACTGAGAGTGGCTGAATGTTGTCCTGCCGGAAAAGAACCAAAAAGCCAGTATCACAGATGCCAGTTCCTCAAAGCCAAAGAAACTGCCYAAGTCCAGTGTCTGAGAGCCCGACACCATCTTCTGGGTTTTATCCCTGGACTGCTTTCGTCTCCCACGCAGGGCAGCTCTGACTTGGGGACTCAGAGAATAATTTTTCCCGAGATGTTCAGCTTGCTTTTATTGAATCTTGGGCATTCTTTTCCATCAAGATGGAAGAGAATCTAGTAGATTCTTCTCTCTTTACCTGGTGTCTTGCTTTCAGCCTCCCCTTCTTCACCCCAGCCTCTCCTTCCGTTTCAGCCCCCCTCACCTCCACCCCAGCCTCCCCTCCTCCACGCTAGTCTCCTTCCTCCACCCTGGCCTCTGCTCTCACCCCACTTTCCCCTTCCCACTCGATGTACCCCTCCTCCATGGCATTCTTCATACAACCACTGTTTTCCTTTCCCAAACCTACGATGACCTCCTTCACCCAAAACCCTAAGTGGCTTCCCACGCTCAGGATTCCATCCACCCTTCTCAGTGTGGCCACTCATGACGCTGCTCTTGCCCCCTGCTCCAGCCTCTCTCTCCAGCTTTCCCTTCCCCTGCCCTCCACCCCCAGGAGTGGAAGACCAGGAGAGTTTAGGATGCTTCTCAGGGGCTCTTGACTCAGTGACTTCCCCTGCTCTCCGGGAGTCTGTCCCATGCCCCTTCATGTACCAGCTTCCTCTAAGTCCTCTCTCCCCTCTGCCAACCTCCCTCTCCTCCTCTTCTCATGCCCCACTCCCAGCCACTCCTCGGTGAAGGCGGGTTCTGTTGACCCTTCAGCAGAGTGACCTTCTTTGTGCCTACAGACCCTGCTCCACCTCCAGTATATTTTTTTTCTTTGCCTCATGCCATCCACAACCCTGTCTGCTGCATATTCTGAGTCCCTTGATCACGTCACAGATTTCCTAAAGAGAGAGCAGGGCAAAAGGCTGCAAGACAGGTGTCGGGAGCCTGTGCCAGGGGACTCTTAGCAATGCACCAGCCTGGGCACCCCAGGACAGTCGTCGCACTCTGTCCACCTTCTGGAGGTAACGTCTAGCCTTCTGGAGAAGCCTGAAATGTGCCCCGGGTGCAGGTGTCATTCTCCACCGGTTCAAAGCCTATGCGTGTTCCTGGCAGAGGACTCACGKTCCTCCTCTCATCTGTTCCGTCAGACAGTGGGGAGGGTCACTGTTCTATGGAGGAAGAAGTTGACACTTGGAGAAGTTAAGCCACTTGCCAGTCATACAGTCACAAAGTGATGGAACCAGGAAAAAAAATACAGGACTGGCCACCACCTGTCCCCAAAGCGATACAGTGCTGTGAAATTCCCCATGATGTGGGTCAGAGTGTGGTGTCTGTGGGAAGACCTGGCTCAGTGTGTCTGGGGGACACAGAGCTGAGGACTGAAGAACACATAGGAGGGTRTTCCAAGCAGAGAGGGGGAAGGATGTTCCAGGAGAGGGAACAGCATGGGCTGAGGCAGGGAGGCTTGGGAAACCCGGTGGGTCTGAGGATGGGTTGTTCTGTRATGGATGGAGTTTGGAGGGGAGGGGAGAGGAGTGTGGAAAGGTAGGTGAGACAGAGGGGACCACAGTGGGTCCTTGGAAACTTTTGAAGGTGGTTTGCTTTTTGACAGATTTGCAAATTAAGAAGACCCCTGGTGTGAATAAGAGGATGGAAGGGATGTCTTCTTTTTTCCTGAGCTAGGAGAGTTCACTCAAGGTCTCCTGTGCCTCCCCCAACTCCAGCTACCCCGGACATGGCGGTGTCTCACACTGGGGAGAGCAGAGCTGGTCAAGGGCTCTTCCCTCTGCGACTCCTAAGGCTCTTGCATTGTGTGCTCACCTCAAGCTCCACSCGGGGGAGACTGCCCCTCAGCCCAGACGCTGCCCACCTGTGATGCCTGGGCTGGTTTAGGATGTGGTGGGAAGAGATGGAGGGCCAGCCTGCCCAGGGGCTTTGCTGGGGGTTTAGCTGAGGACACACAGGGGACTGATGACACAGCTGAGTGGACTCTTGTGGCTCCAGCACCGTGGGCTTTAGTTCTGGTGCTGGACCATGTCCCAGCGGGTTCCAGTTACCGGGATTCACTATGGGACTGACTTTTTTGGAGAAAGAAGCCTCTTGAGATGATTTAAATTTCCTGGGTGGTTCCATTTCTCTCCTCCTCCTCCTCCTCCTCCTCCTCCTCCTCCTCCTCCTCCTCCTCTTCTTTTTGCTTGAGAAGGAGGAATACTGAATATTTTGCTGAAGAAGAACACTGACCACCTGGGAAGAAAGTGGTATCCCTTGCTTGTATCATTCCTCCATTCAGTGCAGATAATGGAGCACTGACGTCCCAGTGTTGAGGATACCAAGGAGGTTAGAGTCTCTGGAGACAGACAGATGTGTAAATTAGGAGAAAAACACGTTCCATGCACCATGGCAAACACTGTTGGAGGCTCCACCAAGGGGTAGAGGTCAGCTCCACCTGGGGAGTGGGGTGGGAATCAGGGCAGGTTTCTCGGGGGGAMCTGCAACGGAGTCGAGTTATGAAAAACGAGTCTTTTGTTTTTGGCAGGAGAATGGGAAGATGAGTGACATTTTAGACAGGTACAAAACACAAACGTGTGAAATAGTCTGGTGGTTTTGGAGGCTGCTCAGTGGTCAGGAGTGCTGACTCAGAGAGGGCAGAAGAAGTGTTTGGGTTTGGGACAGCAGGGCTGGTAGGTGAGAAGGGCCCAGAACCGAAGGGCTTCTTATGACATGCTGAGGATTTGATGCTCTATGTGTTTAACAAGAAGCTCTCTGATGTCAACCAGGGATGGATATGATGAGGTGATTCACATTCGAGAAGGATGATTCTGATGAGACAGTGTGAGGCTTTCCAACTCTGGATGTACCTTTAAAAATGTCAATACCAAGTCACTTAGAGTTTCAGATTACGCTGGCCAGGCCTGGGGTGGGGCTCAAGCAATTTTTTTTTTTTGTATTGGAGATGAACCCTGGGCACTTTATAACAGAGTTACACCCCCAGCCCTTTTTATTATTATTATTWTTTTTGAGACAGATTCTTGTCCAGTTGCTTAGGGCCTCAATATCAGACTTGCTGATCTGATCTTGAACTTACAATCCTCCTGTTTCAGCCTCCTGAGTTGCTGGGATTCCAGGTATGCCCCACTGCACCCGGCGAGCATTGGTCTTTGAAAGAAAGCTTCCCAGGCAGTTTGAAGTGCAGCACAGATGACATTCCTTGAGGACATTGGGCAATGTGTAGATGCACTGGGGGATTATTACAACTGGGGCTTTTATTGGCATCTAGTGGGTAGAGACCAGAGATGCCAACATCCAACAATGCACTGAACGGCCCCTAAGCAAAAAGTGATCCTGCTGAAAATGTTGGTGGGGCTGTGGTTGAGGGCCCCTGGGCCMGGGGACACGCGGGAGGCTGGAGGCAGGTGCCAGTGAAGAGCCAGAACCTGACGGTCCAGGAGGGGGTTAGCAGACATTCATGAGGCCGGATTTAATGGGCAGAAAAGAGATGTGTGAAATACAAAAGCACAGTCCCTGGGAAGTCACCCATCACTGTTGGTGGCTGGGGYCATCACACAGGGGCCACGGCATGGTGCAGGCTGGGGTGGGCTGGCCACTGACTCCTTGTGGCTGGGCTTATTAGAAAGAGCTCACCCTCCCGTGAGAACAAYAGCTGTCGTGAGGTCACCTCCCCCATCTCGATATGGGGAAGTCATGATTATTACTGTTCCCCTGGGAACCTTCTCCAGCTTAAAGGAAAATTCCAGCCCCTGAGATCTTCTGCAGTGAGTGACAGCTTCTTAATTCGTGGAGCAGCGTGGGCCTGGTGGGTGGGCTGTCAAAGCCAGCGTTTCTGATCCCTTCACGATGTCAGGGTCCGGGGCACACCTGCAGTCACGCATCCCAGAGAAGAACTGTGGGGCTGATATCGCCCCTCCCCCCGCACCCCCAATGCAGGGCCT